TCTGTTCCTCATTAGGGAGATGCCGACAGAAGACATAAGCCCACAACAGGGCTGATCCCTCCTCTCCCATCTCTGCCCATCCTGCCACGAATTGAAATCTCCAGGCAAATGTTCAAGGAAGTCATCACAAAGGGCAGTAGCAGTGGGCAGGACATCTTGGTGGCTGTGGTGGGGAAAATGAAATGTGTGCATACTTGCTAGCTTCTCCTGCTTGAATTTTGGCTCGCATATCTAATGAAATGCACTGCTTCTCCAAACCCTGGGTCAACCAAACCTTTCACATGGAGGCTTCTCTGAGAATCTTCCTGGACAAAATTAGTGATGCTTCCTCAGAATGCTGCAGCAGGCTCCTGTTCCTCCTTTGTAGTACCTCTCCCGTTCTACATTGTAGTTATTTTGGGCACGTTTACTCTTTCCTACCAGGATGTAGATTCTATAAGCAGGATCCAGGAGAGCCTTGTTAAAGGCAGGGGCGGCAGGGAGGAATTGGCTCTTTCTATCTGGGAACCAACTAATCGGTTTTGAACCAATTGAACAACTGTACCAAGGACAGGTTTTGGAGATAATATCATTCATTCAACATTAATTCATTCACATGTAGGCATATTTTGTTTTACTGTGCTTCACTTTATTGCCCTTTGCAGATACTGCGCTTTGTACGCATCAAAGGCTTGTGGTAATGCTGCATTCAGCAAGTCATTGGTACCATTTTTCCAAAAACAAGTACTCACTTTGTGTTTCTGTATTATATTTTAGTAATTCTCACAATCTTTCAAACTGTTTTTTGGAGACAGAGTCTTGCTTTGTTGCCCAGACTGGAGTGCCATCAGTGGCATGATCATTACTCACTAATACAACCTCCACCTCCGGGTTCAAGCAACTCTCCTACCTCAGCCTCCCGAGTAGCTGTGATTACAGACACCCAACACAACACCTGGCTAACTTTTTTTTTTTTTTTGGTTGAGACGGGATTTCACCATGTTGCCCAGGGTGATCTGGAACTCCTAAGCTCAGACAATCTGCCCAGCTTGGTCTCCCAAAGTGGTAGGATTATAGGCTTGAGCCACTGCACCCGGCCCAGACTTTTTAATTATTATATCTGCTATGGTGATCTGTGATTTTTTAAAAAAATTGTGATGTTACTGTTGTAATTGTTTTGGGGGTAACGTGAACTGTGCTCATATAAGACAATACACTTAATCAATAAATGGTGTGTGTGTTCCGACTGCTTCGCAGATCAAATGTTCCTCCATCTCTCTCCTTCTCCTTGGGTCTCTCTATTCCTTGAGATACAACAGTATTGCAACTAGGCCAGTGAATAACCTTACAATGGCTTCTAAGTGTTTAAGTGAAGGGAAGAGCTGTATGCCGCACATTTTAAACCAAAAGCTAGACATGATTAAGCTTGGTGAGGAAGGCGCACTGAAAGCTCAGAAAGTCTGAAAGCCGGGCCTCTTGCATGAAACAATTAACCAAGTTGTGAATGCAAAGGAGCATTAAAAGTGTTAGTTCAGTGAACACACAAATGCTAACAAACTGCAACAACCTTATTGCTGACAGGGAGAAAGTTTCAGGGGTCCAAATAGAAGATCAAACTAGCCGCAACGTTTCTGTAAGCCAAAACCTAATTCAGAGTAAGATTTCATGAAGGTTGAGAGAGGTGAGGAAGCCGTAGAAGAAAAACTGGAAGCTAGCAAAGGTTGGTTCATGAGCCTTAAGGAAAGAAACTGTATCCACAACACAAAAGTGCAAAGGAAAGCAGCAAGTGCTGATATAGAAGCTGAAGCAAGCTCTCCAGAAGATCTAGAAAAAATCATTGATGAAGGTGCCTATGCTAAACAACAGATTTTCAATGATAAAACAACCTTCTATTGGAAGAACAGACTTCTTCCACCTAGGACTTTCAAAGCTAAGAAGGAGAGTCAAAGCCCAGATTCAAAGCTTCAGAGGCCAGGCTGACTTTCTTGTTAGGGACTAAGGCAGCTGGTGACTTTAGGTTGAAGCCAATTTACCATTCTAAACGTCCTAGGGCCCTTAAGGATTACGTTAGATCTACTCTGCCTGTGCACTATAAATAGAATGATGGTGCTTGAGTGACAGTGTATCTGTTTATAGCATGGTTTACAGAGTATTTTAAGTATACTAATGAGACCTAATGCTCAGAAAAAAGATCCCTTTCAAAATATTATTGCCCACTGACAGTACTCCTGGTTATTAAAGAGCTCTGGTGGAAAGGTACAAGGAGATGAAGGTTGTTTTCATGCCTAGCACAACATCCATTATGCAGTCCGTGAATCAAGGGGTAATTTTGACTTTCACATCTTTTTACTTAAGAAGTATGTTTCAACTTGGGAGGTTGAGGCATGAGAGTCACTTGAACATGGGAGGTGGAGGTTGCAGTGAGCCAAGATCATGTTATTGTACTCCTGCCTGGGTGATAGAGCAAGACTCCAGTAGAGAGAGAGAGAGAGAGAGAGGGAAATACATTTCATAGACTATAGCTGCCATAGATAGTAATTTGTCTGCCGGATCTGGACAAAGTAAATTGAAAACTTCCTGGAAAGGATTCACCATTCTAGATGCCATTCTAGAACACTCATGATTCATGGGAGGAAGTCAAAATATCCAGATTAACAGCACTTTGGAAGAAGCTGAGCCCGACCCTCATGAATGTTACTCCTCCTTTTCCATAGCCCAAACATCTATAGAATAGAGCCAGTTTTCCTCTGACCCAGATCTTATTATGCCATTTCTCTGGTTAACTATGTATGTTGAGGAAATAAAGATGAAAACAAAATGACATAGTGTATTCCCATCACAGGATTATCATTAAAATTAAAGTCTGATCATACCAAGTATTTTTCCAGGGTATGGGGATAAAGGTTGTCATACACAGCTGGTGACATTTGGAAAGCTTTTAAACAAGGTGAACTAAAATGTCAAAGGCACGTATCTACCAACTACAGGGTTCTGAGTCTACCCAGAGGAACCCTCCTGCAAAATAAAGGAGGTACACCAAAGACATTTATTGAACCTCATTTAGAAGAGGAAAAACCTCAAAAACCCAAATGCAAAGCAATGTGGAGATGGCTAAACTGTGGTATATCCACATTCTAAAATAGCATGCAGTATTAAAAATACGGTCTATGAGGGGTCTTCACAAAGTTCATGGAAAATTCGTATTATTAAAAAATTATGCATGGAGTTCAAAAAAATTTTTTTTACCAAAATAAACTTGTACTAACTTATTATAACATGTCTGAACAGAATCTAGTTTAATGCACTAAGAAGATAAGACATCAAAGACATCAGGTTTGACAAAAACCTTTACCAGAGCAATATGAGTTCTGCTAAAATTGAAGCAAGAACAAGCATCAAATTTATGATGAAGGTTGGGTAAAAATATTGTTAAAATCACTGATGCTTTACAAAAAGCTTATGGAGTCAACACCCTAAAGAAATCAGCAGTTTACAATTGGATAACTCATTTTAAGAAGGGACAAGACAGTCGGGTGTGGTGGCTCACACCTCTGATCCCACCACTGAGGTGGGTGGATCATGAGGTCAGGAGATGGAGACCATCCTGGCCAACATCATGAAACCTTGTCTCTACTAAAATACAAAAAACTAGCCGGGTGTGGTGGTGCATGCCTGTAATCGCAGCTACTTGGGAGGCTGAGGCAGGAGAATCACTTAAACCTGGTAGGCAGAGGTTGCAGTGAGCCAAGATTATGCCACTGCACTCCAGCCTGGTGACACAGTGAGATTTTGTCTCAAAAAAAAAAAGGTGGGGGGTAAGACAATGTTGATGGTGATGCCCTCAGTTGCAGATATCAATTCATGTCAATTTTATGTCAATTTGCCAGGAAAAAAAATTTATCTTGTTCATGCCCTAATTGAAAAGGACCAGCTACTAACAGCACAAACAATAGTCAGAATATGACTATTTTTGGAGATAGGACTTTTAAAGAAGCAATTAAGGTAAACGAGGTTCTATGGGTGGCTATAAATCAGTGCGATTGGTGTCCTCACAAGAAGAACAAGGTGGGACAGAGGCAGACATATACAGAAGGAAAACCATGTAAAGATACATGGAGAAGGCAGCCATGTGCAAGCCAAGGAGAGAGGCCTCAGGAGAAACCAACCTTGCCAACACCTTGATCTTGCACTTCCAACATCCAGAACTATAAGAAAATAAATTTCTGTTGTTTAAGCCACCCAGTCTGTAGTACTTTATTACAACAGCCCTAGAAATTACACAGTATTAGATGCTTTTTATGGGTGTGTACAGCTGCATGTGGTGTATGGAAAGAAGAAATGCAAGGGTCCACCTCTACAGTGGTTACCACTGGGGAGGGATTAAGATTGAAAATAGTGGCTGAAGGGGATTTTAGCCTTAAAAATCAGGTCTTACATCAAATGTTCTTACTGGTATGTAGGAGCTAAGCTATGAGGATGCAAAGGTATAATAAAGATACAGTGGACTTTGGGGACTTGGGGGAAAGAATGGGAGGGAGTGAGGGATAGAAGACAACATATATGGTGCAGTGTATACTGCTTGGGTGATGGGTGCACCAGAATCTCACAAATCACCACTAAAAACTTACCCATGTAACCAAGTACCACCTGTACCCCAATAACTTACAGAAAAATAAAAGTTTTAAAAAATCAGGTTTTAATTTTTTAAAAAACCCTCTTTCATGGTACTCCATTGATCGCATGCAATGGTCTTCACCACCTGACTCCAACTGTCTTTGGAGCTTTATTTCATGTCCAGTCCCATTTCCCACCCTTGCACACCTTTTTACCACACCAGATTATTCCATCACTCTAATGGCTATATGTCTCAGTCTGTTCCCTCTGCTGGAATGCCATATCCCATTTTTCAAGCCCGAGTTGCTGATATCCAGAGCGCAGACTGAATGTCACCTGCTTTATAAATATGTTACAAAAGTCTTACTTTGAAGAGTCCCTGAAGCACACTTCTCTGTTCTTTTAACATCTTATTCGCATTTGTACCCCTGGTCCCTAATCAGTGCTGCAGCCAAGTAAATGCTCAATAAATGGTTCCAAATAAGTGAATGATAGGAAGATTTTTTTAGCAAGTTGCTTTTCCATCTAGTGTATCTCAAAGGTCCAACATTTTATTCTGTGTGTATTAACAAACTCCCTAAAGATCAGGGCTATAATTGTGACCTGAGTGAAGTCCTAGCCTCTAACTATCCCTTTGATACAATGGGGATAACTATATTTCTGGGCCAGCCAAGCCCCATTTGTTTTCAATTTTAGTGAAATCAGCTGAGAATGAATTGCAATTTATTTTATTCAAGTCCTGTGCCCATAAAGGTCTTTGATTACTAATTCACAAATAAAAATTCCATTGACCTCCGACAGGGAGGCTCTGATAACCCAGGCCTTACCTTTTCATCAGCTTGGGTGAGCATTCTCTCTCCAGATTTGAGGACGTATGCTTCACATGCATTGCATTATAGGAAGTGTGAGTATAGTCATTTTCATCACTGTAGTCAGGACCGAGTAACGTCCGGGCCCAAGTTCCCATGTCATAAGGAGGAAGAGTTCCTCCAAATTCAGAGGGCAAAAATTCAGGGTGTATTAGCTGGTGAAGGCTGTTTAAATTGTTTCCATGCAGGAAAATCTGTAAAGAAAAAAAAGTCATTAGCAATACAAAATCCAAAACATACAACCAAGAATTCTTCCAATACACAATTTAGCAATGACAAATTGGATGCACTGCTGGTGATCATGGTGTTTAAAGAGGCATTGATTTTGTGACTGTAGCTTAGTCTTCATAAAATGTTAATTTATTGCTTAGAAAGGGGGCTGAATTAATAGTCGTTAAAAATGAAGTTTATGAACAGATTGAGTGTTATTTGGCCGTGGGCCAAATTTACACATACAGTCATCTCCTAATTATCCCTGCTGGTAAAAGGAGTGATGGTGCAGACCACCTGAAACCCCAGCCATTGCTGCATCTCCAGACTGCTCTGTCCTCCCATCTGTGTGCTCTCACCCAGTCCTCCAGATCCTTTTCAACCCTAGGCAAAGTTGCAGCTTCTTCCTAATTCTGTCCCGGTGATAGCTGCCTATTCTGCTTCTTCCCATCCACCCTCCAATTAATTCTTCAGTATCTGCTGACTTCTGTTTTTTTTGTTTGTTTATTTTTTCCTGATATGTTCATTTATATTTTGTTTTCTCACAGGGAGAAAATACCTAGAGAAAAAGATGGTGTTTTCTTACTCCTTTAAAATGCTCCTTAGCTCCTAGGGCAATGTGGGCACAAGGGAGAAGAAAATCAATTCTTATTTAATGGAATAAAAAACCACAGCCTGAGAATTTATTATGAGATATTTTTGCAGCAATTTTCCATTTTTGTCTGGATTGGGGACTAAAATCCAAACAAGTTTTCATCTTCTGAACATACAATAGATAATGATAAACATTGGTCAAGCAGGAGAGAAGCCACCCCTCCGAGTTACAATTATTTCCAGACAAATCCACAAAGTGGATGAGCCATGAATAGATAATTAGCACTGACTGCAGTTTAGGAGTTGACACTGAAAGGTGACTTAAAGTTCATCTATGTACTGACATTAGTTCCCACACTTCTTCATGCGGCAGGCATGAAGTAATTATGTGTAACACATAACGTGCACCCAAGTATAGGATCATGAAGTGCACACACATGCATGCACATACACATACAGTATAACCATAATGAAATATAAATGTCTCCCAGGTGCGGTGATTTATGCCTGTAATCTCAGCACTTTGGGAGGCCAAGGCAGGTAGATCATGAGGTCAGGGGTTTAAGACAAGCCTGGCCAACATGGTGAAACCTCGTCTCTACTAAAAACACAAAAATCAGCTTGGCATGGTGGCATACGCCTGTAGTCCTAGCTACTCGGGAGGCTGAGGCAGGAGAATCGCTTGAACCCGGGAGGCAGAAGTTGCAGTGAGCCAAGATCACACCACTGCACTCCAGCCTGGGCAACAGAGCAAGACTCCATCTTGGCGGAAAAAAAGAAAAAGAAATATAAACGTGATTTTTAAAATACTTAAATAGAGGACTTAAAAAAAATACTCGCTACCTTGTTCTATTGTATTAATTTTAACTTATGATGTAATGACATCATTTAAAGATGAAGGGGACAAGAAGTGCTAATTCTTCAGAAGACTACGGGAGCACTTCGTAAAGCAATGTATATTTCTGACATTAGAGTTGAGTATGACAGAATTTTAGTAAGAATTATTTCTTTTGAAGAAAGTTACTTTTCTGACTTTTAAAAAACTTTTCAGAGGGTGCTGTCATATTTGAAACATGCTGGAGCTAAATATCAGCCCTGGTGTTTAGAGAAAACATTTGTACCCATCTATCCAACATGCCCAGTTTTTGAAGGACAGAGAGTGCTATTAAAGGCAACCCTCATTCTGGGGGTCTTACGGGATGGAGAAATGTAGAAGTAGGAGGATTGCCCTTCCACCTGTTAGAATCTATCCTGTGCTCAAAGTTCCAAAAATGCCCTCCTATGGCATGGCAGCAAGCGTCCACTGTGGGAGGAATTCTCTCTGACTCCAACCTGAATAGAAGAATAAGTTTCTGGAAAGCCCGAAGCCATGTTGAGAACAGTCCTAGAAGACTTCTCTGTTCTTAGCACTGTCCTGAGCCCCAGATGGGTTTCAAAATACTTCTGCCTTGTGATCCCAGTGAATTCTAATTCCTGGTTTCAAACTTGTTTGAGAACAGGGAAATTACCCCTGCCCTACCCTATTGCAATGCTCTCTAAGGACCTGGCAGTATCTGAGGTCTAGGAGTTAGAAACCCTGCAGAGCGTGGGGGTCGTGGGGAATCCCTTACATTATCAGTCCCTCTTGGATACTCAGAGCTCTTCCCTAGTGTCAGGTATCCTGGATGTCAGGGGAAGGTGTTGTAGGATTACCCTAGCCAGATTCCTATGAAGAGTGATGTTCCTGACCCAGGAGGCAGCTGAAATCAGAAAGTCTCAAAGATAAGACTGTAGCATTATTCATAATAGCTAAGATCTAGATACAACCTAAGTGTCCATTAGCAGATGAACAGATATATACACAATGGAATACTATGCAGCCTTAAAGAAGAATGAAATCCTGTCACTTTCAACAACGTGGATGAACCTAAAGAGCATTATGTTAACAAAAATAAGCCAGACACAGAAAAACAAATACTGCATGATCTCAATTATATGTGGAATCTAAGTAAGTTGAAATCACAGAAGTACAGAGTACAAGGGCGATTACCAGGAGCTGAGAGTAGGGGGAAATAGAGAGATGTTGCACAAAGGGAACAAAGTTTCAGTTATGTAAGATCAGAATAAATTCTGGAGACCTAATGTACAGTACAGAAACTGTAATAAGTAATAATATTGTATTGTTTATTTGAAATTGGCTGAGAGTAGCTCTCAAGTGCTCTCACCACACACACAGACACACACACACACACACAGTCATAACTATCGGAGGAGATAGATGTGTTAATAGCTTCATTGTGCTAATCATTTCACAATGCATAGGTATATAAAAACATCACATTGAACACCTTAAATATATCCCATTTTTAATTGTCAATTATACCTCAATAACATTGGGGAAAAAGAAGAGAGGGCTAAATGGTAAAGATAAATAAAAGTCAGCAGGTCTCATAAGGTACCAACCGCATCATGCCACATGTTTTCATAAGCTGTCTCATTAGAGTTCCCCAACAACTCTGTGACGTAGGTGTTAGTTTCTCCAATTTACAAATGAGAAAATTGAGATTCAGAGTGGTTAAGAACTGTTCAGTTACTCAGCTCATCAAAATGCCGTGAAAAAGCCCAACTCTGATTGATGGAAAAGCCTGGCTTCCCAAGTGTTATCAACTGATATAATTAAGACTGTAAAAGCCTTCATCATAAGAGCATTGTTACTGCCAAAGAAGAATGCTTTTCCAGCTTTACAGGTGATTGAGTTAGCAGTTATCACCCAAAGCCATGGGAGGGAAGAAAAATTATAATCATTCTTCGTAGCACTAATACATTTGCAGAACAAAATTCTAGCTAATAAAATATTCCATGAACCGGAAAGCTGCTGGACCCAGTATCTCCCATAAGAATTTACAGTAAAATGGTCATCTGGTATTTGCATGCCTCCAAAGTTTCTTTTGGTTTATCACTGGGACTCTGAAAATAACCCAGTTCTACTAAATTATTAATTAAACCCAGGCCATTTGCAAACTCCAGCTGAGGCTCAAATGCTCCAAGGCTGTAAAAATACCACAGTGGAAGATAGATAGATAGATAGATAGATAGATAGACAGACAGACAGATAGATGAGAGAGAGAGAGAAGTGCGGGGAAGAGGGAGGAGGGGAGAGAGAAAACGGGAGCACCATAATTGTCTCGGGCATTTCCTCGTTGAAATTTACATGTTGCATTTGTTTTCATTACCCGTTTCCTGGTCTTGTCTTTAAGAAATGGCTTGATAAGTGTGTAGAGGGCATGAATGTACCAGGGCTGGTTGACAAAGTGGACTCCTCCAAAGCGGGCAGGAAAGCTGTCCTGGGGCGGGAAGAGAGAAATGCACATCAATTAGTCAGCACGCCTTGTTGGACTGGACCAGCGGGACCAATGCCCCAAAGAACAACCTGATTGTTCCTGCCTGGTAGAAGGTCTAACTTTATGGCAAGAAGAGGATGAAAACACACTCACCTCCTAGCTGTTAAGATAATTCTTTATTCCCCTTGCCTCCGTTCTCTCCCTTTGACTCCAGGCACAACTTTAAAATTGTGCATGGATTCCAGGCCTGCTTTTCCAAATCACAATTACATGACCTTCTACATGGCACAGAAGCTTCTGCAGCCTGGAGAGCGAGGGGAGTCTGAATTCTTCACTGCATTAGGTAACCAAGGCTTCCAGGCTGCCAGCACAAGATCTCTCTCTTTACCCTCATTTCCACTCTCCCCCTACCACCCTCTGCACGGCATTATTATGACAGTAACCAAACTTTCTGGGTGAGTGAGTGCGAGCTGTGTAGGAAATGGTTGCAAAAGGATTTCAGAGGCTCTTAGGAGATGGGGCTCTGTGCAACCAACCGAATTCTAACAAAGTTATAACAAATTTTTCATAGATTGCAGTACTAGCTTCAGTCTGCCCTGGGGCACATAGTAGGTCCCAGGGAAAAGGTACTTACTTGTTGATTGATGGGCTAGTTGACCCCCCTAATCAAGGGAATATGAGCATCCTTTTCTGCAGATGAACCCATTTTGGAAATAATAGGAAGTAAGAACATTTAAGAAAAATGATTCCAATTTTAGAATCCAGATCAGGACATTAGAATCCAGACCAGCTTATGTTTTAGATGCTAGGAAGCTGCTCTCAGTGCTAATTAGATCTACGGAACAAGGGACCTTGGCCAGAAAGTCTGAGCTAGTCTTATAAGACCGGGTCCTGAGATCTACCAACGTATGGCTTCAGCAGATTGGGTTCATCTCAGTTAATAGAATTAGAAAAGAAGGAATCTCTAAATGCTGTATGAATTGCCAAGTTTGCTATCAATTGCATTGCCACAAACATCTTTGTAAAATGTTAGCCAGATGAGATGAAAGCTGAGGGACTCTGGCTGGCGGAGCTAGTGGTTCAGCAGCGAGCTGCTCCCTGCGGGTGTATGACATGCCTCGCCCGGGTCTTTTTTAGTAACAATAAAAAAGGTTATTAACTTTTTTTTCCAGAACGTTTTGAGTCTACAGGATCCCTAGGGATCTTCCACACCAAGACCTAGTTTCCAGGGTGAGTGCATGGAACTGCACTGAAGGGTTGACACTTGAAAAACTTAAAAATAATTTTTCCCTCTACCTAGACATTTTAGAGTAGAAAGGAATTAAGTATTTTGAAGGCTAAACTGGACAATTTCAGTAAAAGGTGTTTGCTTTGCAGAATATGTGTGTGTGTGTATATATATATATATATGTATTGTTTCTTTTATTTTAAAAAACTTAACAGAACAAGTATAGGGGTAGAGAGGTCATTTATATTAACTTGCTATTCCAAAACTAATTTTATAAATGTAAAGTTTCGTAATAAAGTTGTCTTTTTTCCTCTAGGTATAGTTTAGGATCTAAAAATTTTATGGTTCCTTAAAAAAAGAAGCGTTTCCTTGATGATAAGTGCTATTCACTGTCATCACTTCTTTTAGCTCCTTTTAACCTACTCAGAAGTGAAATTCATTATTTCAGATACTAAATGTGGGTTCTGAGGGGCAATGGAAGAATAAGAGTGAAGCATTTATTTCTAAAATCAGTGCTTTAGTATCTTTTTTAGTGGGACCAATAAGAGGTTTATTTCTACTGATGGTCTATTGTGTTATATAGTTCTAGGTTAATAAAGTGGGAGGAAACTCTAAATAATACTTGAGAGTCAGCAATGTTGCAAAATATTAACCTTTAAAAAATATCTAGACACTTTTAGTTTTAGTTTATAAAGCCTCAATCATCAAAGACATCAAAAACTATCTTCTGATTGTGGCAGGGTAGGTTGAAAGAAAAATTATAGGGTTGAGACTGTAATTGCTCTCTACGTTACCCTGGTTGATGATTCTGCCAGATTGAAGGAAAGGGCTTTTATTGATCTTATTCAAGTCAGCCAGTGAATATGTACAGACAAACACATGTGAACCCTGTGTCTTGAAGTTCTGAACTTGCACCAGAGTAGAAACAGAATCACTTTTATTCAGGTACCTCCTATAAAATTCACATGAAAGGCCCTCCTGTCTGATAAAGGCAATATGCACATGTTCTGGGTCTTCCTGAATGAGCCCAGCCTTGCTACTTGCTACCGTGTGTGTGTGTGTGTGTGTGTGTGTGTGTGTGTGTGTTGTACAGAGGGGAAGGTGAAAGAAGGGAAAATCAGCAAATACACCCCTCTCATGGTCAACATATCATTGTTGGTTGCCTCTGCCTGATTACATCAGCCAATTGCAAACAAAAGGGAAGTTGTCAGTCACACACAATCTCCCAGAATCCCTAGAGGCCTACCACCCTCATGGAAGGGCATTTCTTAGGGGCTGGAGCAGATGTATCTCAAGATCATAGGTGCTGGTTCAATGAAAGTATAACACTTTGTCTTTCAGTGTTCTTGGAGACTAAAGAGCATGTACCAAAACATACTTTAAGTTCAAGAAAATCACACTAATCCTGTACATTTATACATTTATCAATAAAAATATAACGTCATTTCAAATTATAAACATATCCAAATCATAAAAGTGTGTCTTCTCCCCAGTTTAAGTCAATTTTGTTTCCTTATTATAAATTATACACATTCTACAAAGTAAAAATAGATAAAAACATTATTTGAAAAATTAGAAAATATAAGAAGATAAGAAAGAAGAAAACAAAAAGCCCCTATAAACCCACTGCCAAAGACACACTCTTGCAATTTTCTATTATTCAGGATGGGTTATGTAATGTTATAACAACAAATAACCCTTGCTTTTTTTTTTTTTTTTTCTCATTATAACAGTAAAGATTGATTCTTTGCTCACATTAAATGTCTTGCTTGGTTTTTGTCTTTCCTGATTAATTTCCTGCTCACACTAAATGTCCTGCCCTGCTTGATTTGCTTGCAGCCTGAGATATAGCCTCTTCCATCTGAATCAGCGCTGCTTGACATAGCCCAGGGGAACCACATGGAAGAATCATACCTTCGCTCTTAAAGCTGACCCTGAAAGTGACATGCTTCATCTGCTGCATTTTAGAGGTCAAACTCATGCTTAGCTTCCAGCATGTCTACCATGTTCCCAGGACGAACAGGACCAAAAGTATTGGTGAATTGACGTAATAATTACCCAAACTCTGCCAACCCTTCACTTTTCTTTTTTTTCTATTCTTTTAAAATGTGATCATTTTTAAATTGGATGCAATAACTATTTTTGATGGCCTACAATATGTCTGATTTAATGCATTGAATAATACAAATATAGAGTCTTCAGGGTAGTAGGGAAAACTGAAAATGCAATTATGTAATGACATGTTTAGTGTATCCCATTCTTCCCTAAACAATTAGGTCATGCCTTGCACCTCTTCAATTCAGCACATATTTATGAGTGTCGGCCGGGCGCGATGGCTCAAGCCTGTAATCTCAGCACTTTGGGAGGCCGAAGCGGGTGGATCACGAGGTCAAGAGATCGAGACCATCCTGGTCAACATGGTGAAACCCCGTCTCTACTAAAAAAAAAAAATACAAAAAATTAGCTGGGCATGGTGGCGCGTGCCTGTAATCCCAGCTACTCAGGAGGCTGAGGCAGGAGAATTGCCTGAACCCGGGAGACGGAGGTTGCGGTGAGCCGAGATCGCGCCATTGCACTCCAGCCTGGGTAACAAGAGTGAAACTCCGTCTCAAAAAAAATATATATATATATATATGACACTCAAAAATATATATACAAAATTATGAGTGTCTACTACACGACGAACAGTGAGCATAGTCTCTAAAGCGTATTTAGCAACCAGGGCCCTCTGTGATTTTTATCCCTTTCCTTGCCTTCTCTAAGCTAAGCTCTACTCACATCCCACACTGCTGAGGTCAGTAGCTTTCATTGAATGGTGATATCATTTTATGTAAAGTTGCAACCTCTCAAAAAATGAAGACGGTAAACCCCAGGTAAGAATAGTTTTTTTGGCTTTTTAAAAACTTATTGTTTGCTTCATACTTGCATTTAATTCATAGTCTCAAATGCCACAGCAAAGGAAGAGTTCTGGTAAGTTTACCCACAGTTCAGTGGTGCAGCCCAACTTTACTCATTTTTTAGACTCCATTTAAGGCTGCTTCATTCTCTTCTTCTAATGTTTTATGTTTTTAAATTTAAAGTACATCACTCTCTCCATAGAGCCTGTGATGAGAGCGGGTTTTCATGGTCTAGCAAAAAGATGTCCCCTTGAGGGTTCTCACAGGCACTCTTCTGCTGTAACGTTGGAGTTCTACATGCAGAGCGGTAACTAAAGGTCCCAAGTGTATTTCAAGATCTTCTCATAAAAAATGATTATTGAATTCCTCCTTGTGCAAACATGAAGTAGTCATACATTCCCCTATTTCTTTGGCTAAGTGCACCTAAGCTCTGGATAGTGCATATAAAATAAACATATGAAGACTTCAAAGGTAGAGAGAAGTCATATCAGATAGGAACTCTGGGACCCAAGGAAGGAAACGAGAGAGAGCTCCCCAGGTTTTCTTTTTTCTTTTAGCTCTATATCTATATATCAAAGACTTGGGACAGAAGAAGGCAGCACTTGGAAAAACCAACTGGTGCAGACAACAAATAAATAAATAAAAAGCAACCAAAAAAAGGCTGCTCTTTAATGAAATGACAGGTAACAGGCAGTCTAGCAAGATAGACAACTTTCAGATAATAGCTTCTCTATGCCAGTCAAACATCACAGGAAAAAACTGTGGTCCCTTCCTAACTATGCTAGCAAAGTCTGAGTGGGCAGCCTGATCTTCACCCTAGCAAGGCTGTAACAGGGTGCATAGCATCCCTGACAGGATAATGTTATAGAAGGCCAAGT